TGCTACTTTTAAATCAAATTTACAATTGAACAATATCATTTTTGTTTTGTGGCTTTCAACATTTTGTAAAAGGTAACTTTTCTTAACGCAAATCGCAATACACATATAATGTTAAAACTTGTTTCATTCCGATAATTTTCAATGATGTCTTAAGTCTTTTATTACCTACACAAGTTACATAATATGATTAAGATGTCTAGAAATACGCAAATTACGATTCAATATATTTTAATACAGAAACGAAAACCCGCTAGGAGATAAGCAACCATAATTATCACACTGTCTGTATACATTCAAACTCATCAATAGTTGAAAAACAACTGAACTCTAAGATATTTTGTTCAATATATTATTTACAATAGTAATACGTTTTTTCTAGAGTACAAAATAAATGTTTCCACACAAATATTATTAACAGCAATGTAATTTGTAGAGTTTGTAGATTTTCGTTATTGATTATTATGAAAACCTGATGCAGATGCTGTTTTAGTAAAATAATTGTCAATTATCTGACCATGTAAACAGTACAATAAAAGTATTTTGGGTGAACAGATTTTATGCTACAAGATAATTATTTTAATATCAAGTGAAATTTGTCCGAAATGTTGTCTCCTAATCAATAGTACAAACAACGAAATACAAAGTCTACGATATTAACGATATCACTGTGATAACGTATTAAGTATCGCGATGCACAAGTATTAAAATGTAAAACGCTGCAGCATTCCGATTTGGCGGCGCATCGTAAAATTCAATTTGATATTTCACCAACTGTCGCGATGATAAAATACGCTCGATTCATATTTTTATATTTGACCAGAGTAAAGTTTCGCGCTTTGTTATAGTTTACGCCATTTGGAAAACATATCATTAGCCGACGCATTTTAATAATGTTTAGCTTTTTGTTATCCCGTCCGCGCCCGAAAATAATAACATAACTTACCGGCCAAAGTTTCCACGGCGCGACGAAATATGGAGTCGAATAAAATATGTCTCTTTGTTAATAATAAAAACAGACCAGCAAAGAACGTTATTTGTGTTGTTGCGTTGTTGCCGTTGTTGTTGTTGTTGTTATCTGTTGTTAATTATCTCATTTTTCACCGTTCGCGTCACGAGCGCGGTGTACAAATATAACGCATTTCGCTCCGTCGCTGCGCCAAGTGCTTTCCGCAAAATACCGCAAATACTATCCACTTAACCCTCGCACTCGACTGGTTTTGAAGTCAATTGGCGGTGTAATAATATTGGAGATTTGTGTTAGCCACCTGGTCTCGGAGACGCGTCCGTTTCCATGATATTGTTATATATATACTTATTATTACTATAATAATATACGGTTTCCAAAATCGCTCCAAACCCTTCTTTTTTTTTTTTTTGTTCTCTGACGATTTTTTCTTTTGGTTTTCGTTTACGCCACCGGTCGCTCACCAGTAGTTGTCGTTCGACGATCCGAGACGACTGACGATAAAACTTCGCGTGTGATACCCGGCTAAACACCAAACTATATGGTACACAAAGATATAATGTGTATAGGTATAGTGTTGCGATGGCGTCGTTATATACACCAAGTTTAGAACAATTCTGCCAACAGCAGCTAAACCCACTCGGAATTAATACCATCTGCAGACGAATCGTAACATTGTGTGCATGCATGCGTAATTACTTCAACAACGTTAACGTAGTCTCCCAAAAATCAGTTACAAATAATAATGGTTAAAGTTGCAACCACCATGATCCGCGTTTATAATTAATATTATACTTTCGATAAAATATGTGGTTCCGGTATATTAGCACGTTTTTAAAATACTAATATGATTTCGTCGACATTTCCGAACAACGTTATACGTTCTGATCCCATAAACATAACTTTATATAGTAAAATAGTAATGCACAGGCCTACCTCATAAGCGTGATTGGGGTTTTAAATGCTCTTATAAGTTTAAAGTATCTATACTTAATGTTTTGTTAGCACTGCTACTTTTAAATTTCGGTACCTAATTTTTGTTATTTAAATTTTGAAAAATTGTTGTTATTTTTTGGTTTAAAATTACGTAGATTACGTTTAAGTAAGGTTATGGATTTTACAGTTCTAGTGAAAAGAAAAAAAAAGATTTCAAAACATTTTACTCTGTACAAATAAAATGTAAGTAATGGTAAAATAAGAAAATGTCAAGAAAACTCATGTTTTAGTTCGATTCTCAGATGGTGGAAAAATCATCGGTCTTATTTTTTAGGTAAAATTCTTGTTAACTAAAAAAATATTGAAATTAAAAATATTTTTAGGTCGTTAGGGGAAAAAAAAAATTAGAATAGAGTCGTTTTTCAACATCAACGTGTTGTGTTTTTGATTTTACTGACGTTTCGTGACTACATTTTTAAACCAAGACTATACGTCAACCGAAATCTTTAAAAATAAAACAAGCTTACCGCTGGTTAATCATACAACTACATGTTGAAGTTAAATTCTTGTGAATTTGACATTTTTTTTTTTTTTTGTATTTTCATTATACTTTCTTTGTGTTCTCCATCTGCAGCAGATGTGTAATTTATTAGAAATAATAACGGTAGTCATAAAAATAACCGAAAAAACGATCAAAATAATATTGTTTGTTCTTTACATCGGTTTATTATTATTTTGAGTTGTTTTAGAACAGAAATAATAATATTTATATGATATAGAAATACGCTTTAGAGATAACCCGACACTGGTGACACTCTTTTCGTCAAAAATGTCATTTTGGAAAATGGGTGTGTGAGGACGATTAAATCGAATTACAACTGTTTAATGTTGAAGTAACAATACCATTCAACGCGTTATATTTCGCTTCGAGGTCGTAACAATAACACATGAAAGTTTTTGCTCAAATATAATATTTATTATATATATTTATACATTTTTTGACTATGAGTTAAATTTCATAATATTTTTCTGTTTTTTTTGCTGCAAACATTGCTGTGACCAATTTGATATTTTTGAATGTAGCAGAAAATAGCTCAAATTATAATATTATTATTTTATCGAATTTTATTAACCGTATATAATAATTATTAATTACAAACTATTTAAAATCAAGTTTGATAAAAATATGCTGAAAAATCTTAAATATAAAGGTTATCATGATTCATAAAAAATATAAAATACTTTGTCGAGATGATGAGATCTTTTATCTAAATTTCTCATAGTAATTATTCAATTTAATCCTTCATAAATAATATTATATACCTTGTTATTAATTTTGATTTCAGAATTTTTTTTAATCTTAAAAAAAAAAAAAAAAATAATAACAATGTATAAAATCGACCAAAACAACAAATATTTTATTAATGAAACATACATGTCTTATTTAGAATGTACAATTAAAAAGTACAACTTTTTTTCGTTGAAAATTATAATTTAGAATTGATTTTTTTCAAAACGGTTTTAATGTTTTATTTACCGAAACCATATTAAATGACGTTTATGGTATTGAAAATAAGAACATTTGGAATAACTTATTAAACGATTTATACGTACAATAAAAATGAATCGACAAACGATTAAAACAATGGAGCGAAAAATGACTATACCATATTGCTTTTCTGACCTACATTTGACTACACCACATTTAAAGACCAACGACAGTTATTGCTTCAAATATATTATAAAGTATTCAGACATTAATAAATTGTTCTTACATTTATTCTCGCTGTTATAGCAAACGTCGGTGAAAATAAATAAAAGTGAGCAATTATAGGTAACCACAACGTTGTATAGTAGGCGTTCAGTGTACCTCGTTATTGAGCAGGTCCCTGTAATGAAAATTTTAAATTTACATTACATTAATCATTGTAATCATTGTATATGAAAAACGATTCTGATCAAAAACGGTCTGTCAGCTTATAATACTACAAGCATTGATTTTAGATTATAATATTCTAGTTTATTCTAAAATTAATGCTATGAGTATATATTAGGGCTTGCATTTGAAAAAAAAATTGTTATACGTTATTTATAATTGAAACGTTACACAAATTTTGCATTTATCGTTATTCAGAATTAAAATTTTTAATATATTTCATAAACTATAACTATTAAACAATTGGAAATTAATTATTTTATTTAATGATATACTATATACCTATAACGTTTTGTGTTATGTTTTGTTTGACGATATATATATATATAGTTAATTATTATGTTTTGTTTTATGTTATTTAAATATTTATGTTTTTCGTTTTTTGTTAAAATTACGTTTACAAATTTCAATCGTTTTTTGTCAAATATAACGTTATAATAATTACGTTATTATAACGTTTGCAAGCCTTGGTATATATCATGATATTTGTAAACTCCCATCATGGAAATTAATTTTACTGTTAATAGCATGGTACATTAAATTAACTTTTGCCAATTACATAGCATTTATTATATCATTAATATTTAGTTATTATAATAGTATATAATATGTTTCATAATTGATAATCGTTATAAACATTTAAATTAATACTGTCATTCCGTAAAATAGAGAAAATAGGTTCGTGGTATAAATAAGAAATAACTTGACATTTTAAATAGTTTGTGTATAGAAAGTATAATAAAATACATAAAAGTTTTTAGTCCACACCATCAATATTTTTGAATTATAGAAGAATAATTAAAGTTATTTTACTTCGTTGAAATATCTAATTTTTTCGATGTTTAAACTTCAATTTTTATAAAACAAAATTGTATTTAAAATACACTAAAAAACAAATTGACAACCAATACAGATAACAATAAATTATAATACATTATTTATAGTTAATATGTTTAATGTTTAAATAATTATTAATTTCCATTGTTCTTTTAAATCATGGCGTAAATAAAAATACTTTTTTTTTATTTACAACAAACAACTTTACGATTTACAAAATTTAATAATTCACATAGGCAATAAAAAAAAAAAAAAAAAAAATTAGAAAAAGTTAGTAACCATTTTAATGTTCAGTAGAAGTTGAGTGTATCTCGTCATTAAGTAAACCATTCTAATATATTGTATATATTAAATTTAAATTCAATGATAAATAATTTCAAACAATAAACTTTCAAAAGAACTTCTTTCAATGTTAAAGTTCAAAGCGTTTTCATCGCTTCAAAAGGCTATGACACTGATCACTAATGACACACACAACACATAAAATAAACAAAATATATAAAAATTCACATCATTGTAAAATCAATCGTTTTAAAATCGTTAAATCGCTCCGCTAAAAATCTAAAATAATATTGAATAACTAAATATCAAATAGTAAATTTTAAGTAAAAACGGTGTAACGGGTTCGCTATCAAAGTCATGATCCACTACTCCATTCATTTCATACATTAGCATACCGGACAAGTTTTTATTTTTTTTTTCAAGATAAAAACCTAAAAAATTACGAGATAAAAATAAATCATAGGTGTTCCAAAGACTTTAAGAGATGTAGAAACATTATTATTATTAATATATATATATTTTTTTTTTTTTTTTTGTCAATAACACAAAAATTGGCTGACAATGATTAATTAGTCTATCTGGTTAAATAGATTATGCGTGTGTGTGTATACTGTACACACACACACACACACACATATATATATATATACATTTATTTATATACACGACATGTTCGGTATATATTCTACACGCTCGTGCACTGAAGCAACCAACCACACGGTGCAGGGACGACTGTACGCGAATTGTCGAGCTCACCGCACACGCTAACAAGCTCTTGTCAAAACATTTAGAGCCTCGTCAAAACCGGCGAGGTAGTCGGTAGATGTACAACTATACAACACACCGCCGTGCGCGACACGCGTCATCTCCGTGACAGTACATAATAATATGTTATAATGTAGTAGAACGTCAATTTTATTATTATTTTAATATTTTCATGCCGGAGCCCCGTTCATTTATCCGAAACGTTTGACGGTCGACTGCACATTATCATAATTTCCAAAGTGCGCGAGTGTGTCCGAGTTATGTGTATGGGGGAGCGCAGTACCGTAGTAGACGTACAATATACATTGTTATCATTAGTGTGTATAGGACATATGTCTTATAATTACACGAAATAAATAGGTGATGGGACGCTTTCGTACACGCACTTACGACCAGATTTCGATCGACTTGAGTGTTTTTCACTAAAAACCGTGAGTTTGCCGTACCGATCAAACCTATTATTATACGCGTAATAGAAATGGGATAAGAACCCTCGGGGAAAACAGTCGTTGCGAAACTCGTCCGAGATCACGCTCACTTTTTTTTTCTATTTTATATCACAGTAATCATCGTTTATAATTTTATATTCTTCGATATTTTACAATGACATCTAATTGGAAGGCAATGATGGTCGAAATCCGATAAATAACGGGTTAATCAATAACCAAACTCTGTGAACACAATAATTTACCAAAAAGAGTTATAGTTTTATAAAAAATAGTCATAGGCTGAATAATTGAGTTGCATCTATAGCTACTTTAATTTATCAAACATAAGAATTTATAACATTTTATTGAAAATTTACAATAGTTTTATATGTTGTATAAAATAAAAAGGTTTCAAAATATTATCAATAAGTATATTGATAATATATACTATATATATGTAAATGCATATAATATTTATAATTTTAATGTAATTATTATTTATAAGTTATAATTAATAAATTAATTATTCATTTATATTATTTAGTTTAGCTATGAATAGTTTGCTCCAAAAACAAAATAATATTATATTCCTCATATTTCCATTCTTTAACTGTATATTATTGTCATCAAATAATTGTTATTGTAGATAATTTATATTTCTTAAATTAAAATTCGAATTTCGTAAATTTAAAGTTAATTATAATTTTAGATACTAGTCAATAAAATAAAATTGAATTTTATAAATACAGTTTATCTACTTTTTGTTACATAGTTTTTTTCCTAAATACAATAATTTGTAAAATTGTAAACAACATCCAATAATCAAATTGTATTGATATAATTGTATTGCTTATCACTAAAACGGTTTCATATCCTTTAAATAATATTTACATTTCTGAAACTCGAATAAATGTTTTCTTAAACGTTGTTTTTCAATGATGTTAAAATAATAAGAGTTTTCATTGACTTGTCCAAATAAAGTAATCAGCAATTAATAAAACGTATATTTGTAGAAATTCGTCATTTAATAAGGGTTTATTACACTTTGCATAAAACGGTTAGTGACATGAAACTATAACCGTAAATGTATTTTATAACAAAGGTTATAACCCAAAAAACATTTGGAGAATTTAACTTTGTTTGACATTCATTTGTTTTTTGAAGGCGAATGAATCGTTTTTTTACTATAAGGTTATTTTAAACATAATTCTGCAAGTTTATGTTATTCAAATGACAAGACATTCTCTGTTAACAACTAATGAAATGTTTTTGAGCGAGTTGAAACACAAGTTGACAGATGTTCAGACTGTTTAGTATACGTTTATCATAATATAAATATTATTGTATATTATTACGTTGGTAAAATAATATAATGGTTTTTTTTTTAATTGCATCATGTGTAAATGTTTACTGCGTAATATATATTTTATTATGATTAATCGTGTGCGGAGTTATAAATGAATATAATATGTACGAGTTGAATTGAATACAATATTATAATTACTTTAATCACTAAAAAAATACCCTTAATTTAAAATGATTAATTTTATATGTATAGAAAAAACTGTAACACTATATGTTGGAATGAGCTGTGAACTTAATATAATTAGCGATAGGTGTGTTTATCATATAATATACACCACAAGAATGAAAACAAACTTAGACTAATTATCTATAAAAAAAACTTCGCCTTTAAACTTACTAACTCGACATGTTGGTTATTAATTTAAAGGTCAAATTACATTGGACTAAATTATATGTACCTACCTATAATGTACACACACAGCGCACCAAACAATATTTCCCTTAGCAGAACACAAACTATGAACTCAACTGAAACTTTCAAACAAGATTGAACCACTTGGGTATTTTTTTCGTTCTATCAAAACTAAAATGACCGTTATACGTAGTTAAAATTAACAGAGCATATTATTAATGATTTTTTTTTACAGTGTAAAAAATAGTTAACATATTGAAATGGCAACCGTATTTATTTGTATCAAGTCAATATTAATGTAGGTATATAAATACTTCAAATACATATCTGGCTTTGAAAAGAAAAATCGAAGAGAGATAATTCATAATGTTACCGCTTATCGTTAATTTTTTTGGATAATTTATGTGCTTTAATATAAAAAACAACAAAAAATTTGATAAAAACGTGTAGAACGTAAGCTATTCAATCACACGTTTCACAGAAGACAGACTCGACTGTATTTTAGTCTCTTATAATTCCTATAGATCTGTAAAAATACGAAAAAAAAAAACTCGTCATAATTTTATCGTCAGAGTAGTACGTGCATAATTCAAAACGAAAGTACAGTCACATAGCAATAATAATTTATATGGATGGGATTTCGACAGAGAGACGTTTGATAGTAGTTTTTTACATTTCAACGGCTGCTTGTCGTATCGGAGACATAAATATGTTTGTCCGTTTGATGCGGTAACGACATTGCAGTTGTACAGACGGACGTGAAATAGAGCAGATGGGTCGGGGTACTCGGTGCAGTAACGAAAAACGATTTACGACTGAGGTATTTTTTATATGCATACATAGATATTAGGTTACACGCAGTTGACGGGAGAGAACAGAGAGTTCGGTGGAAAAGCAAATTTTGGCCGATGTAGAAAAAACGTAAATAGCAAACTCGATTGGTATTGATTCGTTTGAATTATCGGGCATGTGTCTTCAGGTTATTGCAGGACGTTTGTGGGTGTCTAGAGAATGGCACGCGTGTGAGACGATGGAATTTCCGCGTCCGTCCTTCTGAAATTTACGATGAACAAAAAACTGAAAATTCGCCGGCATGACATCTGAACTAAATAATTTACGATGTAAATGCGTTTCATACACATAATATTATACACTATCCATATTTTCATTGTGATTCGTCCAGTATTCACATATGAGCATTATGATAATATAATGTTCGTTATCGTAATATAGTTCAGTACCTACAGTGCAATAATCCTTCAACCTTTTTGATAACAGCCGTTTTCTATAAACAATATCATCATCGTTTTAGATCGTTTATTGGTAGTTTTAAAATTGTTTCTTTTTTTTTTCAATTTCTTGAAACGTGGTTCAGTGAGATATTGATACATAAATATTATTTTTTGCTTAATAATATTATCAAACATAATGTTGGACATGGATTTGTGCGTGAAAAATAATAATAATTCGTTTTACGAAAATATGAACCTAGATATTTATAATATAACCATGCTTGCAATTAATATTTATTTAAATATTAGTATACAAATTAACCATTTTTTGTATTATTTATATGTACTATAGAAATCGTTTGATTTTTATATAATGTTTTCAATGGATAATTAATATTAAATTTAAATGTAGTAAAAAAAAAAAAAATAATAATAATAATAATATAAAAATAAAAATAAAAACTCACATTTTAGTGTAGAATCCTCATTTCTATTGCTCTGAAAATAAAATATAACCATATTAAATAATTTATTCAATGACATATTATAATTCATAATGCACACAATTATAAAAGTCTATTTAACTGATTAACAATTACTGTATAATTTATAACGTAATAACGTAATTATAAACGTAATATAATTTATACATTTTTAAATTTTTTATAAGTTTAGTGTTACCTACATTTTTAATATTTTGGATGTTCAGCTCGTTTAAAATTAAAAAAAAAATAATTAATTAAATCAATGTAATGGGCAAATGGTACAATTATAGTTCATTGATGTTTGGGTTTATGATTAAATGTTATTTAGACTGGTTTACAAACCATACATTATTAATTATTTTTAAAAATACATTTACGTACATTATAATATTATCATATAATATTTTTCATAAATATATAATGTTCATATATATAAAGAATATTACCATATTATTATTATTATTATTTATTTATATTTTTTTTTTTTGTTATATATAGGGATGTCTTTATGTCTACACCTATTTTTCTGTGGGATGAGACAATATTGTCAATTATATTATTACAATGGTACATTTTCAACAGTATAGCCTTAGGTGTGAAGTGAACCAATTAAGAAAATAACTAACAACACATATATTTTTTTTAAATATAATTTGAACACCGTTTTTTTTCCCCGAATTCCAAATGGAAACTTTCCGGAAAATGCTTGTTACTTGCAATAATTTTCACTGGGTAAATTAATTGAACAGCAAGATAAAAATTAACTTATGGTTTTCCAAAAACCGTATCACCGTGAATACTATTATTTATTGTAAGGCACCATAGATATTATCTATTCAAGCATAGACTTTATACTAATATAAATTCTATGATTACAACATTCATAGATAACCACGAATATAACCAAGTCTACACACAGCAAAAATAAACAAAATTGAACTATTAATTTAATGAACTTATAGCTGATATTTTAAAAATTACAAAAAAATTTGGTATGTATAAGTAAATAATTTTTTTTCAAATTTATAGTAGTATAAAGTGAATGGTTTTAATAAAGGCAATCATTTATTAATAATTAAAGAAACAGATATTATAATATTTAGTACCTATATCTTTTTTTACATTCATGTACATAACAATAAATAATCAAGAACAGACATACTAGACTAAAAATATGCTAAAAATATACGGATAAAAATAAATAATTATTTGATAATTACATCTAATATCAATTCATTTATAACATTTATTAATTACAGTTGTTATTTAAATCATGATATAAAATAATAAAACTTATTTGTTTACCTACTTATAGCAATCAACTTAAAAATAAAAATAAAAATTGCATTTTCTTTAATATTTTAAAATATATTTATAATAATGATTCAAAAAAAAATCCTGTATTATATTTTCGAGTTTTTTTATCGAGTGAAAAATATTCTTATCGACAATCATTGAAAAAATCTTAAACTTTTGCTTATAAATAGCTGAAAGGGAGTTAAAATAATGCCATGGATATAAAATGATAACTTATATATTCGGTGAAAAGTTTAAAGAATTTACGATTATTATTATTTTTTTTTTTTTTTGGATTACTACAAAATAAGTAAATTGATGTTGTCAAACAATGGTTTACCTATGTTAAAATTTTAGTTACCCTTCATTTTTATTTCCTATCACTTATCAGAAAAGGTATTAAAGTAGAACATAAAAAAATTTTGTCTAATACAATTTGTTTATACATAGTGATAATAATAAAAAAAATTATACATTTATCGGTTGTCTCAGTATCCAAATGTGTATACCTAATATTTAAGACCCCACAAATTTTTACTTCTTTTATATAGATTATCATCATTATTATTATTACTTACGAGTTATGATGTTATTATTGGTTTTGATTTTTTTTTTTTTTTTTTTTAATATAACTATTAGTTATTATTCTATTTAAAATAAATTTAATTCATACAAAATACATAAATTATAGAAATTATACCTCTTGATTATTATTGGGTTTATCTGGTTTAAATACACCCGTATATACATAAATATTATATAGACTAAATAATCAGTAATAATTTAAAATATTATAGATAAAGCTATATTATAATTATTATTTTTTTTTAATAATAAAATAATTGAATACTGAGATTTAAAAATTTTCTGAAGTGTTTAAATCAATATTTTCTGATTATTTTAGTTACTTTTAGATTTAAAACTCGAGGTACCCTCCAAACCTATTACGTAGCGTTACGACTTCCGGCCTTCTCGGTTAGGTTAAATGCGTTGATCTATTATTACTTTAGTTATAAATTAATTAATAACAGTAAAATAGTAATACCTACCCAAAGCAATTATCATTATACTTAATAATTAATAATATTATGTTAAATATGATCATAATAATTTTCTCGGACTTTCATAGTTTTTATTAGGTACCAGTCATTTGTATTAGCACAATAACCACCAGCTATTCTAATACGTATTATTTATATCAGTAATTAATAGTAGGGTAAGGTTAGGTTAAATTAGGGTTATGTTGGGTTAAGTTATAAAGAACAATTGTTTTTTCATTTTAAAGTAAAAATATTTCCACGAGAACAAAATAATACAATTTTTTTTTATAATTTTATTATGTTATTAAAGATACGTACCTACTTACAAAATACAGTAGTTTAATTCATGATCAAGAAAAATTATTTATTTTTTTTTGTTAACAGATTTACATTCGTGCGTATTTTTATTTAAGAGCCTATTATGGTTAAAGTAAAACATATACAACGTTCAAAAGATGGCGTTGAATTCCATCTTGCCGCCGTGGCGGTCGCCCACAATCACGCCCATTATCTCCATATCAGGGCTACTCTATATTCTCTAGAGAGGTATATTATGATTTAATATTTATTATTTTACAAATAGCCGTTAAGAACGTTTCTCATCAATGTTGTTGACTATTTTGTATTTATGTCATTTAAGTAATTTGAATATGATACGCGCGAATTCACAAACTAATTATTGATTGAAACTTCTGTTCCCCTAAAATATATAAGAAAACGGCGAAACGCATAAAGTAGAAACAATTTTTTGTAACATAATTTTATTTATACTTATTGCACTATTACTTAAGATATGATGTATACAATTATAAATATATTGAAATTATCTGAATTTATATTAGTTTTTCAGTAAACATGGAGCGCATTTACTTACTTCCTGCATATCCTATGTAGAAAATTAGGTAATATTAAAATGACAATAAAATATGTTACGTTTCCAACTTTATAGTAGTGTACTTTTGTAATAACACGATTTATTGAAACACACTATTTAGATTAAACACAATTTTTATAATTAGTAATTTAAACGAAAAAAATAATATTAAAATATATACTTTTATTTAATAAAATATAATATGTACAATATTAATGTAAAATGGTCATAATTATGTGCATTTTAATAAAATAAAATATTTTGTATAAAACAATAAAAGTATTTTACATATTTATTTAGTTGCCCTAATAAACAAGATGCAATCTCTATTCCCTTCCGCTTTTGTGGTGGAATTTCATTGGTACTCAAGAAATTAAAAGCCTCAATAATTTATTCCAAAGCTATTGCCTTCACCATTTCATTCAAGATTTTTACAAATACAAAAATGCTTGTTTTCATAGGTACAACTCTCCTAAATAGATCCAAGAAATAAAATGTCTGGAAAAAAATTCCATAACAACTTCAACCCTTCCTCGTCCATTACTTCACTTTAGTAAACTGCTAAACGTTTTCAAAAATTAATTTATTCTACCAACCTCCCTTTCATAACAATGAATGGTGAATAATTTTTGGGCAAAAATTGCACCTTTCTATGCTTTGAAATCGGAGGCTACTCTAATCTTTCAATCGTCTGCTCCTAACTATCTCCCGATCACTTTTAACTCCTGGTTAACTTAACACTAGATTTTTTCATGTAATCCGCTCTCACCGGTGTCGACTGCATACTTCCACTAATGTTAACCCACCAACGCCTTTGAACTTTTACTTTCAAACTGATTAGTTAAACCTAATCCCTAAGTCCTGGACTGTATATGTATAAAGTAATTCCTATACCAAAAGCTTACTCAACAATTTTTTTTAATCTGATTGCCTTATCTTCGCGCTTTACAAAGTAGTCATAATATCTTCAAAAATAAACTTTACTGATGGCTAGTGTCCGAAAACATGTTTTTCGTATTAGCTAATTTATTTATAAACTGCAAGTGGCTCAGCCGCGATATGAAAACCAGTTTTGATCTAAGGAGTAGTACGACTGAAATGTTCTTAGGGACCAAGGTGAACATTATTCTCGAACCGGTGCATTCGAATTTCGTCCATGAATTATATTTTGTTCGAGTTGCGTCCGCGGTTTTCTCGCGACATGTACAAATTGCGTCAATGCGTTTTTTAGCCATTACCTAACAATAATTTTTGGTGATAAACTCGTAGATAATTTCGATTATCGCTATCGTATCTATAAATACCACCTTGCAATTTCAATTAACATCAGTCAAATTTCGACATTCCATATCAAATCATCAAATTTTTATTTATATTTATTTAATTTTGCAATGGAAAATCTTGAAATAGTGAAAATGTTCAGTGAAAAAATGAACTATTATATTTCCATTTATACACCATTTATACAAATAACAGTCCTCAGTCTGTAAAATTGGAAAAAAAAATATGTATATTGTTAGCCAATTAATCAATTATTAACCGTGATGCAACTCGTACATGTAACAAGAAAATCACGGACACAACTCGGATGTATTGTGGACAAACCACGGACGCAACTCGGATATTACGATTCATATTTTTGTATTTTGGGACGCAATTCGTATGCAGCCTATCGAACACTGTCGCTATACTTTTCACAGTAGCACATGACAACTGTACATTTTAAATTTTTTTTACCAAAAACATTCTTTGGACCTTTTCGTTTTCCTAAACCCCCATTAGTCGTATAAACATGTTTTTTTT